CGGGCCGGGCGCGCTCGGCCCGGGTGGCAGGTCCTGGCTCTCAGGAGTAGATGGTGATGACTTCGCGGCCGCCGCCGCGGACCAGCATCACCCGGTCCAGGTGCTCGGTGAGGACCTCGAGGAACTCCATGTCTGAACGCGGGTCAAGGAGAAAGGCCGTCCCCCTCCCCCTCAATGGAACTGGGCGCGTCCCTGTCCGAGGTGCTGATCCTAACGCAGGCCCGGCTCAGCTCTTGTCCCGGGGCCAGGGCCCAGGTCCTCTGACGTCCACCTCCCTCCTCCCTCCAATTTTAAGTCCAGGATACAGTTTTCGTCACCGTTGCGGTTGCGGGGAGGCCCAGGCATGTTGAGCAAAACAAGCTTGGCATCCCGGGATTTCTTCACAATGACCTCGTTCAGCCGCACGGCCGTGTGCATGCGCCGCACGTTGGACTGGTTCCTGCGGGAGGGAGGAGGGAGGAGGGCGCGGTGAGCCTGAGGAGGGGTGAGTCGGCGCCAGGCGCACTGGGCCGCTGGGACCCAGTTCTTGCGAGCCAGGAACCACCAAACCCAGACCTCTCCAAAATGGGCTCTTCAGAGACCCCAGAGGTCAGGGGCATGAATCGAGGGGTCGTGATAGAGTAGGGACTCTGGCCAACCCAGAAAAGAGAATAAAAAATTCTGAAGCACTTACAAGTTCTCCCACTCCCTTCAGGAAACACAAGAGAAGCAAAAGAGGAAGAAAAGAGAGGGGTCAGAAAAAGCAGGCGAGGCCAGGGACTTGAGCCACCGTCATCCACCCTGACTGCACACTGGTCCTGCTCTCCCAGACTCCCAGCCTGTCACCTTTCCATTGCCCGCACCTGGGAGTTCTGACCCTTAGCAATCAGGCCCGACCCCCAAGTACTCAGATGGAGAAACCAAGACAAGGTGTGGACTGGGTCTTCCAAGTGCCAGCCCAGGACCCATTCTGCACGTTTGGTCTGCCAAGGGGAGCAAAGACCCTGTAGGTTCACCCAAGATCCCAATCCTTAACCCCCAGACCCATACGGCTTCATGCTGAAGAAGTCCTTGATGCCCTCGGAGGAGACAGGACTGGGGCCCTTATTCTTCTCTGCCACAGACTTGTCCTTGGTCCAGGTGAGATGCACTTTCTCAGGATCTGCCTCCCCCTCCCCCTCGGGCTCCTCCCCTGGAGATGGTGAGCTGCTGGGGCAGCTGGGAGCACTCTGGTCATGGATCAGCTGCACCTGAGGGATGAACAAAGGGACAGCACATGATGCCTTTGGAGGCCAAAGTTCTGCTCCCACTGGCTGGGGCCAAACCACCCCAGCTGCCTACCTCCTCTTCTGGCTTCTCCTCACTGTCACCAGCCGTCTCTTCTGGGACATTGAGGCGGAGCCGAGTGTTTGCTGGATTCTTTCTCCGGATTGAGCCACGAGATTCATCCGTGATACTCTGGAT